TTTTTTTTTTTTTCATTTCTATCATCGACAAAAATGCCTCGGAGATGTGTACGTTTTTCTTGGCGCTCTGCACGGTGAGCTCGTTCTTATCATAGAGTTTTCAAAGAAGCTCTGTTGCTGTCACATAAAAATGATTTACGTCGATCGTAACGTTTATTTTCATACCTAAAATGTTAAGAGGAAGCTCGCGGCGCCGAGATAGCTTTCCATTCCTCCGTACACGTTTATTGATTGCAAACTGCGCAACGTCAAGGATCTACTGCGCAGGTACGGCGCGATTCAAAATCCAACTTTCTCCTCAAACACACACCGGCGATATTATTTCGGAAAGACAAATATTTTCTCTGTCACGTGCCGTCCATTATAGTGTATATTATTTACGAAGAAGCATTTTTTCACTTTGAGCACATCTTATTTATAGAAAATACATACTTTCTTTTTTATTGGAAAAAAAACGCTTTATTTCCACACTTTCAATGATGAATCTATTCACGTGTGCCGATTGTACGAGAGAAGCAACGATTAAATTGCAAGTAAAATTACAATTTTGGTATAAAATTGATTATAAAAAGTTGGAATCGCTGGAAGGTCGCAAAACCGCGCGTTATTACAAGCGCGTGGTTTAAACTCTCTCAGAGTGGCTATCATTAAATAGCTTTATTGTCTGGAATTATTCCCCTACTCTCGTCATAACTAAAGAGATGTGAGTCACGTTCATTAAGTATGTAACGGGTGGCCGTGCAGTTCGCGGAAACTGGAAACAAGATAAAGGACTAGGATTTAAGATTTCGCTACTAAGGATTCGATTACACGAGGCTGTGAGCCTCTCCGGTTTCGCTCGCCTTTGATTCTTTTCTCGAGAACTCTATTTTCGTTCTTACCTTCGTGCAGCCCTTTCGTTTTGCATTTTACGCGCTTAATCAATGCGCGTGTTTTCTCAATAAATTAGACGAACGCGTCAACCGCTTTGTTTCCGGTATGTTTTTACTCTCGACGATAAACGAGAAGAGAACGTTTGAAGGTACGAAGCGAGATTGCGACGCAACAGAGCGCCAGGCATGCCTTATTGCCTTCAACATCGTTGCGAATTATCATGGCTCTGAGGCTGGACCTCGTTGAATAAATTCAATGCAGAATGACGAGCTGTTATTTATAGGCCAAGCGCGCGATAGTGGCAACCCTGATTTCTCATAAATATGTATCCCTCACGCAAAACTCGCCACATAAGTATTATTTCATTCTACTAACAATAATATATATATATATAGTGTGCATAAAAGAACATTGAGATAATGTTTGTAAAATCAAATTTATTAACCGTCGATTATTTTGCCGTCGAATAAATTATTGACTGCAGAATTGTTTTATGTAAAATTTGCAGTAATTAGTAGGCACGTGTGACGAATATTACGTTTTGTGTAGTATAAAACGTAATACATATTATGATTGTAATATGATGCAGTTTAGGGATATGTTTCTCTCACTCTCGACAACTTGATATCCAATCGCATAGAAATACAAATTGTTAAGTCCGAAATGTTCCTATGACACTTAAGTTCCTCGTTATCTAATATCTAATATATAGATATCTAATTCGCAAGTTAAACAATCGAATAGGATGTATTATATTATATTAATACAAAATATCTCGTGTACATTAGATAGATTTATCACTGAATACGATCGACAGTTGCCTAGCCTGCTTCTCGATGGCGTTTATCACTATACAGCTCTAACAATGATTTATCACTTCTATCATTAATCTGTGATAAGGAAAAGAAACTTCCTTTGCAAATGAGATTGATTAAAGAATATTACGTTATTTTGTAATAATAAATCCATATTGTGTAAGTTCAACTTGGATCACGAGCTTAGAAGCATCAAATATTGTTCCCGTACAAGTGCCGATACTCATTGAGACGAACAATCAAATAGTGATAAAAATAACAAGAGCTTTGATTAAACAGAGATAATAATAAAGTGACTCGATCTTGATGTTCTGCTGGACTGACAATCATGACGCGACTAAGAGGCAGAGCCTCTTTGATGATCATTGTAATGATCAGTTTTACCCTGTTAATTGTTATTTATCACATTCTCGGTAATGAGGTCAAGGACATTGAGTCCAATAAATTAAATCCCCGATTTAAGATCGAAGAAGTTTATCCATTGAGTGATCTCACGGAGAATCCTCTTAGTATTGCCAGGAAGCAGCAAATAGAGGCTCACATAATGGGAAGATTAAAAAGCAGCGAGGAAAAGTTGTTCAATGACTTGAATTATGAAAGATCGCACGCAGAAACAGTTCCCTTGTTTAAGGGTCATAAAATTGTTCATTTAGATCTTAAAGGTGGCCCCCCAAAGGCAAGTTATTATAAGTACCTGCTACATTTGCTCAAAAAACTAGGTGCCACTGGTATACTTATAGAATACGAGGATATGTTTCCCTTTGAAGGAATAATACAAAATATCAGTGCAGGTAATTGTTATACCAAACGGGATATCACTAATATTCAAAAAATAGCCAGCGAGAACAAGCTCATAGTCATACCATTGATTCAAACTTTTGGTCATATGGAATTTGTCCTTAAGTTAGATCAATATAAAGACTATAGAGAGGTCTCTAAATATCCACAAGTTTTATGTCCCACTTACAACAAAACTTTGCCACTGATATATGAAATGATAGACCAAATAATAGAGGCGCATCCTGACATAAAGCACCTGCACATCGGTGCTGATGAAGTGTATCAAATAGGAGAATGCTCTAGATGCTTAGACATGATGGTTAAAAGACAATGGGGAAAGAAACAGTTATTCCTGGATCATGTTTCAAAAGTGGCAAATTATATAAAAACCAAGTACCCAGAACTTACTGTTCTCATGTGGGATGATGAATTCAGAGAAATATCATCAGAAGAAATAATTGACAGAGGCTTGCATTTAATGGTAGAGCCTGTTGTTTGGAAATACACCACTGATCCTGGAGCATCGTTGACAGATCAATTATGGGAAAGTTACTCATCAATTTGGAAGAATATTTGGGTCGCTACTGCCTTTAAAGGTGCCACTGCTCCAGACAGGTTTTACACTGATATTGGATATCATATGGAGAACCATCAACGTTGGTTAGAAATCATTAATAAATATTCTACACAAATTACATTTAAGGGTGCAATCTTAACAGGATGGCAAAGATACGATCACTTCAGTGTACTCTGTGAACTTCTACCTTCTGCCATACCCTCACTTGCTGTAAATCTAGCCATTTTGCAAGCTCCAGATTTATGTAGATTTCCGGTAGAAGTACCTACGTCAGTATTACAAGCACTACAGTGCGAGGGCATCATTTCTCTAAGTATTCCGGAACCTCAATATGGTTGGACCAAATGTAGTTATCACGGTGTATCTATTTATGCTGCTACATTGCGGCTGTATTCTTTGACTCAAGAAGTCAGTAAAATGGAACAAGATAACACATTTAAGGGATGGTTAAAACCATACAATATAAAATACTCCTTTTCAAATCCTAGTTACGTAGAAAGAGCAGTTGCTGAACTGGATAGACACAAGATGGAGATAATGTATATTGAGAAAGAGATGAGAACAGCTATGGAAAGCATATATGACAATTACACTATACAAGAGTGGATAGAAACGTATATTGCTCCTTTGAATGAGAAGTTCATTCAACTATGGGAGGCTAAAGAGAAGATTCTAGAAAAGAATGTATGGCCAAGAAGACCGTTAACGAAACCTGTCTTATAGTTTAATAAATTCCGCATAGTTTACACACCGCATATTATGAGACTGAAGATCGCATTAGGATAAAAAAAAAAGAAGAAGCAATGTACTAATCGAGATATTTAGAATCTTTGTTTTCTAAAGAGACGAGTAACCGATAGCATATATAGTCTACCAATATTATAATTTTGCACCTTCTACGTCTAACATGTAGAATCTTAGTTCAAGTGCGTGATCAAATTCTGTCGATTGCACCGTCCGTAAATTAGTATGTTTATTCGATCAATCAGTTTTTCTTCGTCTAACGAACATTCGAATGGAAATCTTTGATAACTCGTACACTTGAAAATTGAGCAATTTTTTTGAGCAAAGTTTTTCAATTGAGACTTCCGCAATACGAATTTAAATTTTGAATTTATTATATATACCAATTCTATATATATATATATATATGAATTTATTATATATACCAATTCTATATATATATATATATATCGTTCGAACAATTAAAAATGTATCCTATTTTGTGAACTCCTGTGCCGTTGATTCCTAATGAAACGAAGTCGACTATTTATTAAGATATTTTACTGTTTAATGCTTTCAATGTATATTTTACATGTATATTATTCGATTGTTCTAAGAGTACGCACATTTGGCGGTCTTACTCATTTCTATTTGTTAAATGACGTGTTCTTCCGTTGTATGCGTTCTATTTTGTATATTTGTGTTCCCCTTTTGTACGTGTTTTGCTCGTTTTGCATGATTAGTGCCATTAATAATTAATTAGATATAAAGGAACACCTGTGAATCAACAGTTTATAAAAATAGAGATACATCTGCGACTTGCTTAATGGACGAAACAATTTTTCTCCCTCGATTCTTATAAACGCGAATAAAAGTTTATTCGCTGGCTATCGTGTTTTACTTAATCTTACCATATTCAAAAGCGATTACGGAGCCCTTTCTTTATCCCGTGATTTCTTAACGATTACTATTCTCAATACTGAACAATCTTTT